AGCCTCAAGGAGGTGACCCAGCAGCAGCTCGGCAGCACAGTACCTGCTGCAAAAAACAAATCTGTCCTGCTTCTTAGCATGTGAGGGAGGCTGATTCAGCACCAAACTCTTGTTGCTGTGGCCAGACTGCTGTTGGTACCCCAAAAGAATTTGAGGTAGCCCTGGTTTGGAGTCCTAAACAGGACCAAAATCTCTATTGTTCCTGGTTCTGGTAGAGAACCTGAGGTCTGAAATTCAGTCTGACATTCTCATGGTCAACCTGGGCACCTCTTACCAATACACTTTTATACTATATAAATATAACTTTGTATTAAATAGATAAAATTATGTATGAAAATTATAAAAATACATAATGTTAATTTTATACATACTAAAACCACAAAATAAGTATAAAGACATGCGATAATGTTCCAATCCTACTTTCCATAACACACTCACACTCTGCTGAACTGTTGCAGACTGGATATTTGCAAACCATTAGCTAGAAACAGAAATCTTGAGTAATCAGTATTGTCAGTAAATGGCTCAGTTTATATTAACATCCCTGATGAAGTAAACAGATTTTCCCAGTGCACAAGTCCATGGTATTAATTGCAATATAATTAATTGAGCCACTTTCTTTGAGTGCTGTACTTGAGTAATTTGTTATTTATGTCAATAATAAGAACTGAGTGGCATTATTTTCAATCCTATACTATTTACCAAAAATGCAGCCTGACTGTGCTCAACCCTTCAAGTACCTGGAGTGAGCTTTGCCCAGTTCATTTAAAGTCTCAAGTTGGTCAAAAAAGGCATCTCCAAAAGCAGGTAAGAAGTGGCAGGAAAGCATTTTGCCAGAGGAATATTTAATCCATGGGAAACATACATGTACAGGCAGAAGAGAAACCCACACCACTGAGGATCCTGATAATCCACCTGCATTGCCAGTGACTGAGTGATGTTCCTCAGGAGATATTTCAGGAGAAATTGTTGCTGATGACAGATCACAGAGAAGGAAGTGATTTCTATAGCAAGGCTGGGGAGAGCTGTCCATGCACGAAGAATCACAACAATCCCTTTACTTGAAGATTTGGAAAGGAGAGGAATAGCAGTAGTTACTGTAGAATGAGATGATCCAGGAATCAGTATACGAAGCCTTTCCATACTGTTTTGAAATGTATTGGAAGATTTATGCTCTGGGGGTGTTCACAGCCTCGCATCTGACACATACGTGTTAGCAGGTACGCTTACAGAAATGCCTGTAGTTAAGCTATCAGTAAATTGTTTGCCAGTTCCCAGTGGATACATGTTTTGGCCCTTTCCAGAAAGTCACTGAGTGTATTAGCAATTAAAGTTCTATAAAAGTCTTCACTGCTATTTGTGCACAGGAAGTTTCTCAAGAGCTTGGGCATTTGTGGGAGTAGACTGAAAGTTATTTTCCTGAGAACCAAGGAAAAGCAAATCCGCTTATACCCGATTAGCATTGTCACACTGTTTGCTTGTGACGGAACACAAACTTACTACAAATAATCACATCTTTACTTCTTCCTCCTCTCGCCCCCCTAAAAAAACCCAAACAATGTGCACCCATGGCTTCAGACCTTGACTCAACACTTCTCAGAAAGCAGAGTTTTGGCTTTTATTTGCATGAAAAGCTTCCTACAACATACAGTGAGTTAGGATGAATAAAGGAAAGACTTTCTGCCCTCCTCAGAGAGCCAGTCCTATGGCCATTTGCTTTGTAGCCCCTGTGTGAGGTGCAGTGATGATGGTGGGACGAGCTCCTGAGTGGAATTAAAACATTTTGCCAGCCCAAGCACTGTGTGTGGGTAGGGACTGCAGGCACAGCTGGGGAGCACAGATGGGATCAGGTCAGATAAGGCAAGTGATTCCTCCGGTTTAGTGGCAAATGAAAGGGTGTGTGAATACTAATAATGAGTACTTACGGAATATTGCAGGATGAACTCACAAAAAGCTCTTGCTAACTGAAACCTGCAGTGCTGTGTTTGTTTGAAAGGGCATCAACATCTTTTGGTTAAGAGGAAGCTTTTCTCAGCAGTTTCAGTTCTGCTTCTCCTATCAGCTTCATAGCAACCAAATCCAGAAACAGGCAAAAGTTGACTATTTCTTGTCAATAAACTAGGATGACCCCTGCTTGATCATGACACATTGGAAAGGAAATCCCCCATGTCCTCTGTGCTGAACTTTGCAGAAGAGAACATAGTTGTACCTGTGCAGACCCCCTGCTCCCATCTGGAATGAGTCCTGCGTGGCTGGTGTTCACACGCATGGCAGCACAGGTGGATTACTCCCAGTCACAGCTTTCAAAGAACGTCTCAGAGACTCTGGACACAAAAATTGTGTTCATTTCTGAAATGGATGGTAAATGTTTTTGTTCATTTGTTTGTTTGTTTGGGTTTTGGTCTGTGGTTTGTTTTGGTTTATGTTTTGGTACACCCAGGCTCATTCTGCAAGGAATAATTGCAGTTTGTGAAGAAATGAAATTTCTCATACCTTTAAGTTGTTGGGTAGCTGCACCAACTAATATTCTGATTCCTGAAAAACTCACATTATCCAGAAGGGCCTTGGCAAGGCTGATAAGTCACAGGGATGGCCAGACCCTCATACATTTGATGCTATGCCAAGGGAGAGCAAAGCTGACTTTATGCCCCTGCTTCAGCAGCCTGCCCGCAGCATGAGGAGCCTCTGTCTTTCCTGCAGTTAGCTCTGAGTGCAAGGGAAGGAATGTACAAGAATAGCACCTACTTCTTTATCATTTGTATCCAAACTGATCATTCTTCTGTGAGGAAGACACTTTTCTTTTAATTCAGTTGATATTTAACTCTGAGAGGCTTCTGTGCTGTTTTTTAAGAGCCCTGGTTTCACTTTTTAAAGTTGGGTTGGATATTATGTCATTTTACTTTGCATCTTTCATCTTCAAAGCACATTAATCCAATTAATAATTTAATACCCAAACCCGGGCTTGCTGCTGGCAGCGGGACAGTACCAGCTCCAACGCGCCGGCAGCTCCGGCAGTGGGGAACCATTTCTCCTCCGCAGTCACAAGGCGCAGACGGTGCTTTCCCACGCTGCCACCCCCACATCCCTCCCGGGGGCGGCTCAGCCTCCGCTCCCCTCAGTGATCCCACCACGCTGCTCTTTGGGAACGAGTGGCCAGGCTAAGGGAGAAGACAGGGATGTTCTCCCACTGGGCTCAGCTCCCTCAGCCAGGCGAGCTGCTGCCGGAGCCCTGGCCTGGGCCAGGCTGCCGCTGGCGAGCGCAGCCTTGGCACCGGAACACAGGTTTCACTCCCTTTGATGATGAGACATGAACGCCGTGTAAACTGGTGATTATCCTGCAGTTAGTCATAGCACAGTAGGGTGGTTGGTTGAAGTGAAATGAAATCACATTTCAGTAACTTATCCTAGGTTTTCCAAATGCAAAATTCAGCTACAACTCACAGGCAAACAGGATTAAAACAGTGATTGCTATGCATTACTCCTCAGTGATCCACCTACTCCATGCGGTTTAGTATCTCAAGCATTATTTACTCACCCAGCGTTTCTCCCCTGCATGGTATTTACTTACCAATCGACTGTCTCCCCATCTTCATTCCTGCAGGAAATCTCAGCTGCCCACAGGGGCGCGGAGGAGATAAGCCATAGCAAAGCAGGGTGACACCATGCAGATCCTGCGGGCATTTTGGTTTCTCGGCTGCACAGGGTGAGCACGGAGTCGGCTCTAAAAGGAGAAGTTGTGTTGCATGAACTGTCAGCTCCTGCTGCAGGGCGCAGCAAGCACAGCCCAGGCAGCTGCTCGGGACGGCAGAGCCAGTCTGGGAAGTCGGGCTCCTGCTGCAGGGACGGCCATTGGCAGCGGGGCAGGGCTCCCGGGAGCTGCTGGGAAATGCTCAGGGTTTCTTTGGGCAACAAAATGGCAAAATGATAGCTGTCAAGTTATGTTTGCGAGAAAACTTACCTTTATATTTTAGGAGGTAGTATTTGGACTATTTAAAATATTCAAGGTATTCTGCTTTAAAAAACCAAAACCAAAACAAAAACCCAACACAAAACGCGCTGCATGCTGCAGATACTGAAACTCTTTTTGTTTTCTTTTTAGTGCTGCATGACTGAAGTATGAGTTTTTTACAACTATCTGAAAAAAACCTCACTGTTCAGTCAAGCAAAACAAAATCATTTCCATCTCACTACCTCTCCACCCAGCCCTCGTAGCGAGCACCCTTCCGGCAAAGAGGGTTTCTGGCGAAGTGCTGAGCCCTGCCCAGTTCTGGCTCTGGCGGTGGGGGCCTCCATTTGCCTGTTGGGATTGAGCCTGCAGGGACTGGCAGTCAGAGAAAACACTCTGCTCTCTGAGCCACAGTAATTTACTTACAATTAGTTTTTTTTTTTTTTAAATTATCTTTTAAATACATTAGCATTTATTTTAGGAACAAACATGTCTGAATTGAGCAATTTTACATCTGATAATGTTTTCAGCAACTCACATATAAAAAGCTTCCATTTATATTTTGGTATGAAAAATATTCTTTCTCCCTCCCCATTATCCTACATTAAAAGATGTTGATACCAAATACGGGATATTTCAGCCTCAGGGAAAATCTAGTCCAATAAGCTCTGGATATTTTAGCATAGCGCAGTCTGTCTTTTCTTCTTGCTCTTGGAAATTACAACATACATAGAGGGGGTAATAAAACACAGAACATGCCAAGAACGTGACAGCTGTTTCCATTTTCTCTTTGGGACTTCTGCCTGCTTACAAAGCAACCTTCCTGCCTCTCATGGAAGAATTGCTTTGATATTCAGTGCTTGTTTCCACTTGGCCTTGAAGCAGCAAGTCCTTGCACCCCTGCGTGTGTGATGGCGGGCAGCCCTGGGACACAGTGCTCACTGGGCTCTGCCTGCTACCAGGGGGCTCTGCCTGCTACCGGGGGGCTCTGCCTGCTACCAAGGGGCTCTGCCATCCAGGATGCTGACCGCGTTGTGCCAGTGTCTGGATGAAAATGGAGAGGGCTCAGCACATCGCACGTGTGGAGCCTGACAGCGGCTGTGAGAGCTGGGAGCCAGAGGAGCAGGAGGTGGTGGAAATTTGTTCTTGGTGCCAGAGAAAATTGGGAATTGTATCTAGAGAGGCACATCCCAGCCTGGCAGAGCTGGCCCTGGCAGAGTGACTATGGAGGGTGCGGGTGTGAATGCCTCCTGCCCTCTGCGTGGCTGTACCTGCAGTGACTGAAGCACTGGAACACTCTGGCTTCAGAAGTAGATGGTGGAGGGAAGACTGAGTAAAGGTCTATATAGTCAGGACTAACCCAAAGATGACAAACAAGAGAGACTAGTTCACTATTACTCATGTTAAATGATCTGCCCTCCTATAAAATTTTAAAATTCTATCACAGCTGCTACTAATGTAGTAATATTTTCCTAAAGCATTTTTAATTCCCATCAGGACTTTGCAATGTATAATGGACATATTTTCATCACAGGTAACCACAAAAATAAAGGCCATAAACATTGTTTACATTCATTGACTGAGCATAACTCAGGCCTCCACTGAGTTCCCCTACAACTATCATGTAATTTCTCTGCAGATCAAGGATATAGAAGTCCTCAACTGCGAATATGGCAAGAACACAATTAAGTTCCTTCGCCTACGTAGAGAAGGCAAGAAGCACTTTGTTAAAGAAGTGGAAGTGTGCACGCATCTCCGTCTGACTTCTGCTCATGAGTACCTGGATGGAAACAACTCTCTTGTGATACCTACTGACACCATAAAGAATATTGTCCTTGTTTTGGCCAAAAAAAATGGGGTATTTTAATTTTTTTTTATTTTAACTAGCCTTGATGTTCCTTATGATTTAATTTGGAAGTGTTTGTTATGCTAACTTTTTGTTCTCAAAATGCATCAGAAAAATCTCTCCCCTCATCAGCGTGATGTGGGAGAGAATTTTTCCTCTAGTGCTTATCCTGTGGACTCGTCCTTAGTTTTCCAAAGCCCTTTTTTCTCACAGACCTAGCAGTATTTTTTGTAGATTTGTTATATAAGATCCATCTTTTTTTAATGTAATAGCATATAATACTACTTTATTCCTATACAGCACTTTTAAACAGAAGGTGCCAAAGTATGTAAGACTTCTCTTAATTCTGTTAACTGTGCTCTTACCTTCCTCAACTGCATCTATTGTAATGACAATCTGTAGCTCAAATTCTTCCTCAGTAATGAAAGCCCATCTTTAGCCTGTAAAGCTTTATCAGAATATTGCTATAATTATTTCAGCATTATATCCACAAAGTGTAAGGCTTCTGTAGCACTGTCTCTCAGTCCAAGGACTGTAGCTTGCTAAACCACAGAATGGGAGATTTTTGATGTGACTCTGTAGCTGCTATTTGCAGCATGTGTTGCAAGCTGATCAAATGACTAGGCATAGAGCACAAAACCAGGACTGAGAGAAATCTGTATTTTTAACAGCAAACTATTTACAACAATCAGAACAATCTACTTTTGTACATAGGGTAATTGCTTCTTTCTAATAATACTGTTTCTGTCTTAGATCTCAACTTTAGAACAATTTGCTATAGATATCTGCAAACACTTCATGACAACATTTTGCCAAGTGGCGTACGTCAAAACCTACGTTCAAGAAGTACCATGGCAACGTCTACATGAGGTATCTGAAATACTAACACATTCAGTTTGTTTATGCTGGAGCCATTTCTCACACTCTTAGTCCCTGTTTTCAAGCTAAGATATTATTTACTGCACTTTTACTTACATGTCTGCTCTGAATTGCAGCACGGTGTTCCCCACATCCACTCGTTTATATACGTTCCTGATGGGATCCGCTTTTGTGAAGCTGAGCAGTGCCGAAATGGTGAGAAAAGAATTTGCAGCTTCCCTGACTTCTCTGTAAATATATCTGCTAATGAGAGATGAAAATGGCTTTAGAGATAGCAAAAGGTGTTACAGGGCTTACAGCATAGCCAAACCTCTCCAGAGGCCTAAAACAAAGAATATTTTTATGGTCTAATTTTGCACTCTGTGATGAGAGACATGGCTGTAGAATTCATGTAGCTCACATTTGTATGTATATCCTGAACATATTCTGGTTACAACAGCGCATACACCAGAACTGCTACATATTGTCACAGGATTTAATAGCCTTCTGAGAATGGTCTGCTTACTTTTTTACATTATAATATATTCATCAGTTTCACTATTATCATTACCCTATAGAGGATATATCATGAAACCACACTGCTGTTGGCCAACTGCCTAGTTTGCAGTTATTTTCAAAACCCTGTCATCAAGCCTTGGAACCTTGGTCTTATTTCTAAGAAAGATGCAATTGCATTGCTGCAAGTCAGGCTGGCTTGAACATTGTGAGCGCTAAGGTCTATGTGCAATTTTCCACATGAAAATACTTCAGGATGTGCTTACTATTTTTGCACATCATGTGTAAACAAAACACCATTTGGCTTCACTCTCATATAATCTTTTGTCATACTTAAAAGACGCAGCCTTTCAAGCTCAGCTGTCTGTCTGCAAATTGGCATTGCAAAGGGAGTGTAAAAATTATCTATTCTTGCTGTGAGTCACAACAAAAGCGTAAGTTCAATCTCACTGTGTTGGTGTTTCATTTAACCCACCTCTCAGGCTACTGGGAACTGAGCTGAGACCAGTACATTATTTCACACAGTGGGTTTAGAGGTTTCAGGCATTAGTTCAGCATCTATTACTGCCCTAATGTCACTTAGAACTATTTCCCATCCTGCTCTCTTTTCCTAACATGTCAGTGCTAGGACCAGCGGTAAGAGCAGTTTCACTTGCAGACAGGACACAAGTTCTGAAATGCTCATTTGAGCATTGTCCCTGTGTTCCTGCCGAAAGCAAAGAGAGAGCCCGTACAGGTCTCCAGTGCCTCTTGGCCTAATCTTTTTTAATGTTCCCAGTAATGTTAACTACTGCTGTATTTTTTGGCAGCCTCAATAGTATTGAGGTTTCTGGAGAATGTTAAGAAATAAACCTGAATAAAAAAAAAAAATTAAAGAAAAAGAGTTCATGCTTTCTTGAAAAGCTGCTACTCTTAATGTTCAGATTGAACTAGATTTTTCATGACTTTGAAAATTCAGTGTGCAATTCTGCCATTTCAGGTTCTATTCAAACAAAAAGTCTTTAAGGCTTACTGAAGAGACTGCCTTTCCTTCTTAGTCTTAGTCCTTTAGCTGTTTCTTCAGGATTCCCTGCCTAGGTGAACAACAAAAGAGAAAATTTTCAAATCCCTTTTATTTTTCTTATAAAAGAACCTTCTCTATTTTCAGCATCCTCCTATGCACCTATCAGCCAGACACAGAAATTTATTTCTCAGTTAATCCTATCTTTTAACACTTTTCTCATAATAAAAAGAAACCCAGTGAGGCTTAATAGAATTATAGGTTTATTTTTTGCCATTATATCAGCTGATAAAAGGCTCAAGAGTTTTTTGGAAACTGTATACATGATAAGTAACTTAACAGAGTCAACATTTGACAACCAAAGACAGCACAAGCACAAAACATACTGAAAGCACATCATGGGCTGTTCACCTTGAAAACTTTGCCTCAGTTTTATATTCTCCAGTGCAAGTTTCAGGTTGATCACTACAGAGCCAGCCAGTCAGCCAGGCTTTCAGTAAATTCATTGCAAGGAGCTCTTTCAAACGAGGCTATTTATTTGAATGTGAGACACATATATCTCCAGGTTCACTGATAGTATCTGCATTACGTTAATACCTGTGTATTACAGCCTTATACCCAAACAATGAATTAATCAAGATCTGAACAAACTTCAAAATAGCCTGTCCAAGGACAATCTCTTTTTTAGATTTTTTAAAAAGCTTTAGCAAATAACAGGGGGTTGTAGCTAAAGTTATAGATACACCTCTTTGGAAGTTTCAAAACCAACAATGAATGTAAACAAGAGTAAAAAAAGATAAACTGCAGGTTTGATAATTTCCAGTGACAGAGCAGTTTAAAAAAACCAAACCTCGAAACAACTATGTCATTTAGAAATATCCATCACAGTGGAATTATTTCCAGCATAAATTCCTGCAAAGACACAGCTCAAAGACAAAGTCTGTCAGTCTTCTCAGTCAAAGGCAAGATTACTATGTGCCAGATATATTCAAGGATGAATTTTTAACTAGTTAGTGTGAGCACCAAGAGCAGCACAGAAACAGCAGCATGGGCTTCAGCCACTGACTATCTGTACAGACTCAGGATAAGCCTGCACGCCATGAAGATTTTCTTTTCTGAACCTGCTTTTTTGCAGCTCTGGTCAGTGAAATTTTCAGTTATCAGTTTGGTGTGCTCTAAATAACTGACCACTTGAGATCGTTTATTTGCCATCCGAAAGTTTTGTCAGAAGAAAAAGTTCAGAACAGAACTGTTTGGTCTTTAGAAGATGATAATCCACCCATGCAGCAGTGATCTACAAGAGCGCATTTTATAAACAGTGGCTAAGAGCAAAACCAGCATCAGTTTGAACTGGTGGGTGGCATCTGTATCAGTGCCAGTTCCTGGTAATTAGCTGAACTGCAAGGATTTGCATTGGCTCCTCGCCCGCTCATTCTTACGGGTGCAAAACTCAGAACAGGCTGGGTATGTAAAACGAATTTCTGACTGAGGCTCCAAGTCCTTTGTACAGAGTTTCTACACTTGTCTACATTGTTAGAAAAGGCTAAATTAATCTCTCCAGCCCTAGTAGCATTTCATTTCCCTTTAGAGCAATTAGTAGTCCCTGAACTGACATCAATGAGAGCCAACCCGATCCATGTCTCAGCTCCAAGGAGGTGAGATAAAGGGTGTCCTTACCTCTCCTTGGCTGCAGGCCACTTGATGGGATTCTCTGCTTTCTAGACTGAGCTCCAATTTCAGTAGTTTCCATCTTGTTTCTTACATTTCTGCTAACATCAGTGTGCAGAAAATAATTTTTAAAAGTAGCTATGCTTGAAATAGAAGCATACGAGTGAGTCCTGGAGAGACTGCTTCATGGTTCTGGAGCTGTCACTGCAAGTGTCCTCCAGAGGTTTCTTTCCCTCTGTCTGAAAAGATGCTCATACTGCCTCATATTTTTGGATCACAGGTCCTCTGGTTGTTTTTGCTGGAATTAAAGATCTGAAACTTATGAAGACAACACAGTCTGGATTCGAAGGCTTCTATAAGAATGAACACACCACACTTCCTGAAAGGAACGACAGGATTTTATGTGGCGAGCTCTTCTGCAAATGGTCATATGGCGAATGCAGAGATTTTGACTTTGATTGCATATGGTATACGGCAAATCAAACAATGTTTATTACCTAATCTATGATCCCAAAGTCCCTCTACACAATACAGCAGGTGTAAGGGCCAGATGTGCAGTTGCTGTGCACCAAGCACTCTCACAGATCTTGGTGGCGGCGCTAAGCCCATGGTTCCAGGGGCGAGAGGCACGCCTCGGGGGGTACTCCTCTCTGTCTATAGATGGTGCATCTATAGACAGTATTTAAATGGACAGTTCAGAGTTCAGTACAGAACACTTTAGGAGAACAAACTAGTTTGTCAAATACTTCTAGCAAAACACCTGTTTGTGAATTATAGAGCTGGAGGGGGGATTTGGAGGTGACAGGACAAAGAAATTGTTCTTCTATGATATCCCATGTGCTATGTATTTGTCAGAAAAGACAGAGAAAAAAAAATCCACAGCAAAACATTACGAATCTAGGACAGAGACAGCAGATACAAGGTTTTGTAAGAACCTGTGTTACCTCTAGGAACAAAATCCGTGAATGTATCCTTGAAGCCTTTGCTGGGCCACCTGACTGTGGAGAATATTCACCTTCTTATCAGAAGACTGTCAACCGTATCCAGATGCTTGTCCTTTCCAAAGTGTCCCAGGTATCTTCTTTCCTCCTGTCGATGTCTTACTTAAGCAATAAGGTTAATCAGACCACTGAGAAGACCAAAATGAGTCTATTATTTCCTCTGACAGTTCTAAGCAAGACTGGAAACTATTTGGTGGTACAGCTAGATGATCTGAAAAAAAATACGAACACTGAGAAGTTCACATGCTGCTTTTCAGCCGTGAACATAATGGGGTAGAATATCACTCAGTGTTTGGCAGGATGTGAGTAAAAGTGAAATGGTGGGTGCTGCAACGTTGTCTGCATGTTCAATAGATTGCATTTTACCAACTGTACATACAGGGATGTGGAGGGCTTGCATTGCTTGAGAGAGTCCAGCGCAGAGCCACAAAGAAGATTAAGAGAGTGGAGCATCTCCCTTGTGAGGAAAAGCTGAGGGAGCTGGGTCTCTTTAGCTTGGAGGAGACTGGGGAGTGACCTCATTAATGTTTATAAATATATAAAGGATGAGTGTCATGAGGATGGAGCTAGACTCTTCTTGGTGACAACCAATGATAGGACAAGGGGCAAGCTGGAACACAGGAGGTTCCATTTAAACTTGAGAAGAAACTTCTTTACAATAAGGGTGACAGAGCGCTGGAACAGGCTGCCCAGGGAGGGTGTGGAGTCTCCTTCTCTGGAGACATTCAAGACCCGCCTGAACGCCTTCCTGTGTAATCTCATCTAGATGTTCCTGCTCCGGCAGGGGGATTGGACTAGATGATCCTTCGAGGTCCCTTCCAATCCCCAACATTCTGTGATTCTGTGATTCTTTACAATGAGTGAAACTATTGCCAGGCTGTTGGCTGAGAAGGTTCCCTCATTCATTGTCTCATTTGTTTTCGTGGTTTTAGGTACAGATCATAGAAGTGGTCTTGAACAACACTTTTTATAATGTTGTAGACATGAAGAATCTAGGCTTGACCAACGACAAAGAAGTAAGTAAATGCTCCAAATACAACTTGCCTGGACTCTTTAGAAATGCTCATCCTTAAAGTGTAGCAGCAGTTCTGCAAAGAACAGAGTGAAAGCAAATTATCTCCCCCAGCTCCAGTGAAAGCTCTACCTTACCTCTAAAAGAGATTTACAATGATTACAGAAGGATAATTGCCTTCTTGTGTTATTGACAAAAGCTAAAGCAGCACAGTGGAATGCTTTGGAGATCAAAGGGATCTGTAACAGAGACTACCTCTGCAAAATCATTCCTGTTTTCTCCACTGAATTTGACTTTTAGTGATAATGCCAACCTGTGCTGTTTTAACCAAGCAGAATGCACCAGGGCATCCTTTCCCCTAGGTAGTGTGAAAAGCCAGCCCACTATGGTTCTTCTTTCTGCCCCATTTGGCAGCACCACTGAGGCCAGGGAGCATCCTTGGTGCAGTGGGGTTACAAGCAGGTTAGCTAGGCCACAGGCTAACTCTCGGTGACAGAAGACCGGCACTCCAAGGGAGCAGTGAAGGGATATTTCTGTAGCCGTTGGGAGCCAAAGCAGGTTGGTCCAACAGTACACAAAGTAGAAGCCTGGGATCAGGCAGAGAGTGAGAGATGTAGGGGATGAGATATATTTTCTCCTCCCTCCACAGCTGCTCTAGCTGACAGCCAGGCCCAGCTGAAAGTCTGTTACATTATCCTCACATGACAGAGAAACTGGGTTATTCCATTTCGCAACAATGGTCTTTGTTTATGCTCTAGTCTCCCTCCCTAAGTCTTGTGACTTTGCTGCCATCCTACCCTACCCTTGCCCTCTTTCAGGTCAACATTGTAGATCCACTTTCACTTGAGATAACAGCAAAATCTACCATTGATATTCATAAGGAAAGGGAAGGGCTGGGCAGGATTTTGAGAGAAGGTGAATGGATGCAGTTTCTGCTGTCATGGCACTGGCACATCCCTGTCTCAGAAATGACCTCTGTGTTTGTGCTCATCCCTATCAGGTTCTGGTTCCAGTGGAAACTCCCTATGGCTCCTGCGCTTGCACGCTTGGCAGGAAGAAGTTCTTAGAAGCACAAGGCCACGTGCTAAAAGAGGAGCGGCAGTTTGGACTGGCAGCTGCCCAAGGAAACTAAACTTCTTGGCTATACTCACACCTTCTTGATAAACTTAACAGTATGGCTTCTCTATCAAGGTGTACTCCTTATTGGCCTCTTCCATTGCTGACTACTTTTCCTTCTATGAACTCTTGAGGCTGGGATTTCTGAAGGACTCTCAGGAATTCAGAAATCAAAGTCTGTCCCTGAATCTCAGTGTGATTTGTAGATTGAAATCCCCTATGCTCTTTTGAAAACCCCAGCTGGAAAAATTATAGTAAATTAATTTTTAAACTAGCTATTCCCAGACCTCTTAATGAAACAATTAATTCAATAATGTCTGCAACATGCTTTTGACATGAAAAATCAGCAACTCTGTATATTCTATCTATTAATGTTCCTTCAGTAAAATGAATATACAGGCACGAGACCAGATGTTTCATTGACATAACCTGTCATGACCCCTTGATGCCACACTGATCTACAGAGCTGAGGTTCTGACCCAGTAACTGAATAGGGAATCAGTCAGACATTGATTTCTTCATGAAGGAAATGAAAAAAAGAAAAAAAAAAAAGTATCTATCATAGCTGCTTTGTGGTATGAATAGTTACAGCTGTTGACTAATTTCTCTGCATGTATTCTAACTGCATGGCTGCTGCTGCTACTTGTCGGACTATACAGTTGCTATATAATTACTTACATATTAATCACTGAGGTGTTTGAGGTTTTGGGCTATCTCTCTAAGTTTAATTAAATAGTTTTCTTTAGTCTAATAATCTCATCATGACTTCTGAGCAGGTGGGAGTCAACCAAAGTAACCCTATTGCTTTCAGGAGGGGCAGGGAGAAAGCTAGACAGGCAGACAATGCATATCTGACTCTAGTTACCCCAGGTGATAGCTTTGAACACAGAGATAAAACTACGCACCCAACAATTCTCATCTTGCCAACTGCAGCTACCACATTTGCAACAGGAATCCTGCTCATCTTCTGACAACTCCTAACCAACTGCTCTCATTTTCTCCGGGCGTCATTTTCACAGACTCCAGGTGAAAGTGCAAATCCAATGGGAAGTGCCCAGAGGTACTTCTGAAAACTGCAATTCAGTTGCCTTTCTGCCTCCCAAATTTAGGCAGACCTGCAGCATTCCTCTGGGTACAATCATTACATCCACAGGCACCGAAAATGAGGAATGTGTCCTGCACTGTGTGACATTTTGAGGTGCTTTGCAAGACAGGAACTTGCCTTGGTGAGCAGGAGGGAACAGATGCAAAGGGAAGACACTGTTCACAAGCCTGAGATATCTCCTGAAAAACAACAGGATGAAAGAAACCACAAAGTCAATCTGTCCCACATATGTTGTTTTCTGGACACTAGCCATTTCTGGAAGTTTTATTTACAATACTTTCAGCTTTTGCTGGGGATGTTCTTTCTTACCTTGTTAGATTGTATTGTACTTGTCTGTGGGCTTCCATTTTGCTATTTCTGCTAATTTTAGGTGCTTGTAATTTATTAATATATCTTTTAAGGGAAAATAAAGAGCAACATCAAAAAACTAATTAGCATTTGACTGTTTACCAAATAAGAAATGAAACCATTTACTACTTATATATAAATGCAAATACTATAAGTAAAAGCAATGTTTTAGTTCAGCCAATTTTACCTCAAAAAGTGACCAGTCTTCTTCCAAATGACAGTTCACTACCAATTATTAAAAATAGATTAAAAAAGATCTTACTGAACATTTCAATATTTACCTCTTTCTAAAACAAGGCCAATCTTCAGAACCCATTTTCTCTCTACCTTATGAGAAATGCACTGCATTAGGTGGAGGTTTCCTATTGTTACTACTTACGCTTCATCTGTGGGCTTGCAAGGTAGTAGTGGACTAACCTTCATGGCAGAATGATGACACAAAGCAGCAACCAGTTGTTTATTTAGACTTTTCCGTGGCAACAAGCACACTTGTACACTCACGCAATGCGGTTTCTATAAAACTCCACAGACATGCAGACATTCAGCAAGTCTTTAAAGGCATCTCATCACAGCTCCATCTAGCACTGCAAATCTGAGTCACTTACATGGGCAGATTGCTTCTAAAGAAAGTACTTAGGCAATCGGAAGAAGCCCAAATTTTCCATATGGTAATTAGATTCAGATAACAATGGCATAAATCATTTTTGAAAATGGGACTTTGCCAGACTTACTTGGGCCTGAAACCTGACCAAATTCCCATTGGTTTCATTAGATTCAGTCTCCACAATGGACTTGCATTATTTTAATTAAGACAGATTTTTTGTTTTTTCCCCAGTTCCTGTCTGAGCAGCTACTCAAGTTGCTTACTGTGTTTTACTCAGAAGCAGCTGTGATGCTTTGCTGATGAAATCACACTTGATGAAAAAGAGCAGCAGCTAGCAGACTGTAAAATTGCCATTTAAAATACATCTTCTTGCTGATAACATGGACCTTGCTAATCCTGGGCTATATCCCAGCAGTTTAGAGGGCCTGGAGCCTCCTACCAAGAAACAGGGTATTTCAAGTGCACAAACATCTTACTATCATTTTAGCATCTGATTCTTTGACATCCTGTTTCTGTTCAATTCTGATAGCTGCCCAGGACAGTCCAACTGCAATCCTCCTCAGCTGCTGATCATGCTCCATGTGCAACAAACGTCACACAGATAAAAAGCACTAGCTAAACTCATTAGACAATATCTAAAACAGAGAAGAAATGTCACCTTCAGGGTCAGTACAACTGATTTGTCTTGACTGGCTGTACTATTCTATATAGATTCAGATTACCTGCTTTCCAACACACATGTAAATCTGTCAGTGTTTATTAACTATTGCAGGTACATTTTTTCCTATTTAAAGTTGTCTTTTTTTTTTTTTTTAAAATCTTGCTTTTATCAGGAGTACAGAACCCTGATTCTAAGTTGAACAGAGCTGAAAAAGTGACAAAAACCCCCTCTTTCTGGCTAGAAATCTCAATATAAATACTTCTGAAGTTAGAACCCTGCCATTTGTGTACATACAACAGCCAACCATCTGCTTCCTGGAAAACACACAGCTGTCTCTAGAAAGGAAACCTATTAAATGTTTCAAGTTGTAGGATCAAAAATCTCAACTCATATCTCAGCTATAATTAGGATATAAACTGTTTTGTGATTCTGAGATTGAACCCCACCATTCATAGCAGGCTGAGAAAGAAGAGACATACACATGTACCTGAGTGCATGCACACACACCTGGCCCCATATGTATATGTACATACATAAATATATGTATAAATGGCACTTACTAGATCAGCTGGTATATGACTGATCTATGACAATCAAATAAGAAACAACATGAGCTGGGGTTAGTTGTTATGTAGTTTTATTACAGACATGCAAACACTCAGCTGCATTGAGTTGAAGCCTGCCATGTTCCCTTCAAGATCCAGCGCAAACTACACACCAGGACAGCAGTTCACCTCTGCCAGGCTCACAACAAATGAGCAGTGGAGAGAACCATGAAAGGGGCACACATCCCATTGCTGCCTGCCAGAGAGAGCTGGAGGAGTCCCTCATGGACCTGGGGGGGCAAAAGGAAAGGTAAACATTCAGTCCTGATAGCAGGTGAGGAAATGCTTGCCTGTGGGGACAGGCATCTGTAGCCCAGGTCCTGGTGAACGGAGGTGCACAGGGAGGCCAGTCTGGAATAGGAACATTGAAGTAACAGAGGTAAGAGATACTAGAAGACAAGCAGGAAAGATGGTGGGGAGGGAAGAGGAGGGAGAGATAAAGTGACAGTAAAAAAATCAGACAAATCAAAGAAGGGAGAGAACAGAAAATTAAAAAAATGAGTGAGGACAAGTACCTCTCCTATCTGCCTACTTCAGAGCTGAAAACACAACCCCAAACCAAACAATATCAGAGGAACTAGAAAAAGAAGGGAGTAGAGAAAACTTTGGTGCAGGGGGTAACCTAACAGCAGAAACCAGAGTGCCTGAGTAGAGGGGAGCTTCTGCTACCTCTCAGTCTGACTGGAAAAGACAAGAGCTTGTTTTAATGGCCTTGTACTCCTTCAATATTTCCAAATCTTCTAGATTACACATATTTCCAGGTAGAGAAGCCCAGGTAAACTGGCATGGGATATTTATACAGAAGGGAGGAGGGAGTAGAAGAGGAGTATCCTTGTGAAACAGGGTTGCTACACCCAGGCACACACTCGCTTCCACACTTCTCCCTATGGTTAGGTCACCAGCTGGGAAAAAAACTCAGCTACAAGTTCCTTACTCTTCACTTCCTTCCTCCTGCTGCAGTCCATCAGTACAAGACAAGGCAATTCTACCCTTGAATCAGAGAGCAGTGCAAACGATAAGCCTTCCCTCCCTTTTCTGGTACGATTTAGCTGCTACAAAGTCAGGGGCATCCTCAACATAGGAAGTACTGCAGAGTGTTTATAGAGGGGCAACTGGATTATAGCAATTATCTGAAAAGGGGAAGAGAACATCTTGAGATGAGTGCAAGCCTGCCAATGCCAAGACATTTGTTGTTGCCTTATCAGCAGATCAACTGACAATAAGCAGTTATAACTGCTGGCTGTTGCTTTAACGGAGACCTGTGAATGCAGCATACAAATACAACAGTAGTCTCCAGTACTCACCAGCAGCCTTCATCAGCAATGAAACTCTCACATGGAGACCAAGGGCCACTTACAGTCTTCATGGCACTCCCCTTGGGCTCTCCAGGTGTTTGAGGTCACAGTTGCATTCCCCAAATTTACAGCATCTACCAGGTAATTTTATTCTGGGAGTAAGTTAAATATACATCTGGGATCCAAAGGAACATCACTAAATCAAAAAATTCCCTAATTATAGGGGCTAAGCAAAAAAGAATGTAATGACCTAGTTACATTTTCATATTAAAAAGAACACAGCCTTTCCTAGGAATGAAAGCTACTTATTAAATCAGTCTGCCCATTATTGCAATGGAGACTGCCTTTGCAGGCTGCCAGTGGGCTAATCACAGTCACTGCCCTCTTCACTGCCCCCG